TTGGAAATTTAATTGTCAGTTGCTGAGAAATGAGGAGTATTGTAATTCTATTAAAAAATTAATTTTAGATATCCAGAATGATGAAGCCATCAATACACCGATACTCAAATGGGAATATCTTAAATTTAGAATCAGAAAAACCTCAATTGCATTCGGTAAAAAGTTAAACAGACAAAGAAAAGAAGAGGAATCAAATGTAGTAAAAGAACTTATGAATCTGTATGGCAAAGTGAATTGGACTGAGGAAGAAAAAGGGAAAATTAATAATTTACAATCTAAGTTGGACGAAATGTACCTTTATAGAGCCAAGGCTGCTTATTTGCGATCCAAAGCCAAGTGGATAGAAGAGGGTGAAAAGAACACTGCCTATTTTTGCAATCTAGAAACACGTAGACAAGAATATAACTCAATATGTAACCTAATAATCGACGGAGAGGAATGTACAGACCCTAAACGCATTTCAAATGAAGTATTTACTTTTTACAGTAACCTTTATAAGTCTTCATACTCAGAACAAAATGTCACCTCCTTCTTTGACAAAATCAGTAATTGGATTCCAGTAATTGATGATAATTTTAGAAAAATTTGTGATGAAGACCTGACTATAGAAGAATTTGATTTTGCTATTAAGAGCATGGCATCTGATCGTTCACCGGGACCAGATGGCATAACAACTAATTTCTATAAGCACTTTTGGGAAGACCTAAAATTACTATTATTCAGTGCAATAAATGAATGTATAAATCAAAAGGAGCTTATGACAACAATGAAACAGGGAGTTATAAAATTAATTCCAAAACCGGGGAAAGATAAGAAAAAACTAAGTAATCTAAGACCTATAACACTTTTAAATACAGACTACAAAGTTTTTACAAAAGTTTTAGCAACAAGACTAAAAACAGGTATTTCTGAAATAATTAGCCCGACACAATCAGGATTTCTCAAAGGACGGTTGATCCAAAATAATATCCGCTTGGTTTTGGACCTCATCGATTACAATTACCTAATTAAGGATGATGGTTTTATGTTGTTCTTGGACTTCCATAAAGCATTTGATTCTATTGAACACTCTTTTATTATTAAGACATTTAAACATTTTGGGTTTGGTGATGCATTTCTGGATATGATCACTATGTTTTATACAGATATTAATAGTTGTGTTTCTCTTTTAGAAGGCACATGTCCCAGGTTCAGGGTGGAGAGAGGTATCAGGCAGGGCTGCAGCATCTCACCTCTTTTATTTATTGTAGCCACTGAATTACTTGCTATTACTGTCATAAACTCAAACATCAAAGGATTAGACATAAATAATCACAAATTAATAATAAGTCAGCTTGCCGATGATACAACAGTCTTTCTAAAAAATAAAGAACAAATTCCATTGGCCTTAGATACAATAAAGATCTTTTCTGATGCTTCTGGACTACGCCTGAACCTGGACAAATGTGAACTCATGAGTATCCACAATTGTTCTCACTCTTCTTTGTATGATATACCTGTCAAAAATGAAATCAAATATCTTGGAATCTGGATAACTAAATGCATGGCTGATAGTGAAGAAAAGAATATTCAGAATACAATTAATAAATGCAAAAAAAACCTCTGAACCATTGGCTACAGAGAGATTTAACGTTGTTCGGCAGGATAATGTTGACCAAGGTTGAATCTTTGTCCAGATTTATCTATCCAGCTTATTCCCTAGCCATCCCACCAAGAATTATAAAAGACATCAATAAGGTGAATTTTAATTTCATATGGAAAAATAAACATCATTATGTTAGTAACAGGGACTTGATAAAAAATTATGAAGAGGGGGGTTTAAAAGCAATCGATTTTGAAATAATGAATGGCATTTTAAAGATTAATTGGCTACGATCTTTCTTGAAAAATGATAATGACATCTGGTTCTTGATACCATCTCTTATTTTCAACAAAGTTGGGGGGATCCAACTCCTTTTAGTATGTGATTTTGAAATTTCTAAACTACCCATAAAACTTTCCAAATTTCATCAACAAGTTTTGTTAAATTGGAAATTAATGTTTAAACATAACTTCAGTCCCCACAATGTTCCATTGTGGAATAATAGGGTGATATTGAATCGGGGGAAATCTATGTTTGTGGAAGAATGGATGACAAAACAAATTTGGTCTGTGACACATATAATAGATGAAAATGGAGATATACTTGAATTAAACAGGCTTAATGAGAAATATAACATGAGTTGCTCGCTCGAGCTTTATAAAAAGGTTTCACAAAATATCCCAACAGTCCTTGTAAATACGGTAAAGAACAATTTTTCAAATATGCAGACTCCAAATTTACATAAAATTAAACTAGATGGTCTTGACTTGGTTGATGGAAAATGCAATAATCAGTTTTTAAGGAAGTATTTGATTAACACTTTATATCCAGGAAGGACAAAACATTCACTCATTTTTAGAGATTATAACAAATCTGAGATTTCGTTGATCAGAACCAAATATTTAACATTTCCAATTCCCCCCAAATTTAAAGAAGTCCATTTTAGAACTACAAAAAATATTTACCCCTCAAATGAATTTATGAGAGACAGATTTAAATTTGTGTTAGACAACTGTTATATTTGTAAAACAACTTCGGAAACAACAGAGCACATGTTCTATGGATGTGTGACAATCCAGAATTTATGGAAATCTCTCCATGTCCTAATATTGTCCCAGTATGGATATATTGATTTTTGGTCTTTTCAAAATATTCAAATTGGAGTAATCCTTATGGACAAAAATAGTGAGTTTTTAGTTAACAATCTCATTATTATAACAAAGTATTACATACATAAATGCTGATATGCTAAATCCCCCCCTTCATGACCTGCTCTTAAAAACGAACTCTCCCTGTTCCGTAAATCTCTTAAGCTAATAAATAAGCCCCAAGCAATCAAATTGCATAGATTTTTAGAAGAGTTTGATTTTTCTTAGCCCCTTATTTAAGTTATGTGTCTTGTCTATGGAACCTCACTTTTAGAGATTTTTGATCCCTCTTGTCTTTTTTTGTTTCTGTTCCTTGTTTTTCTTTTTTCATTTTTCATTCTTTTTTTATTCTTATTTATTTTTGTATTGGTTATTCATCTTTTTATATTATTTTATATAGATGTGTGAATATGGTTGTGTATGTACACATGTGTATATGCAAATATATGTATATATGTGTGCGTGTATATGTTTACTATTAGTTATTGTCGATCTCACTGTGATGTATAGGAGATGTGACTCTGTTCTGTTTGTTTTAATATGTCGCTTTTCTCCTTGAGATTGGTATGGAAGCCCATTCCCGCCACTCAGATAAAATTTAAAAAAAGTATTATCTCATAATTATGACTTAGCTATCTCATTATTATGAGATACTATCTCATTATTATGACTTAGTATCTCATAATAATGAGATAGCATCTCATTATTATGAGATACTATCTCATAATTATGACTTAGTATCTCATAATTATGACTTAGCTATCTCATTATTATGAGATACTATCTCATTATTATGACTTAGTATCTCATAATTATGACTTAGTATCTCATAATTATGACTTAGCTATCTCATTATTATGGGATAGTATCTCATAATTATGACTTAGTATCTCATAATTATGACTTAGCAATCTCATTATTATGAGATACTATCTCATTATTATGACTTAGTATCTCATAATTATGACTTAGTATCTCATAATTATGACTTAGCTATCTCATTATTATGAGATACTATCTCATTATTATGACTTAGTATCTCATAATTATGACTTAGTATCTCATAATTATGACTTAGCTATCTCATTATTATGAGATAGTATCTCATTATTATGACTTAGTATCTCATAATAATGAGAAAGCATCTCATTATTATGAGATACTATCTCATTATTATGAGATAGTATCTCATAATTATGACTTAGCTATCTCATATTTATGACTTAGTATCTCATAATAATGAGATAAATTCTGCTGGCCTCCACGGACTTCCGTTTTTGCACTTCCGTATTTTTCAAACTAAAGCAGCAGCGCAGCACACAACTTCGTTCGCGCTGAGTGGTCAGAATGGCTATTTGTACGCGTTTGCTGCTAGACCTCCCAAGAATAATGGTTAACGATGTACACCGAATCTTTCTTGCCTCGTCCGAAATGCCAAAATCTAGTATGGACAAAGCTTGTATTGTATGTGCCCGGCTACATACACAGCTATGAAGGTAAGCTAACAAACTTCTGCTGTGAGTTATGCTACACGCTAGCTCTCCACTAGCCTAAGTTAACACAATAAGGAAACGTTATTGGAGCGATAAGTAAGGTCATGCGTGTTTTTCGTGTCTGAAATTTAAAAAAAAAAACAGTTTTTATGTTATTCTCAGTTTTAATCATGCAGTCAGGAGAGGTCACGGTTAGGTCCGAGTGTTTCAGGTCAATGTGGAAAAACCAGAAGCCCCACCGTCTGAGTGTAGGGAAACGTTTCCCTGCAGGTTCAGTGCAGGATTGATTCAGGTTCAAAAGAAGACTGTTCATGTTTTTAAACGTCACATTTTTGCGAGTCATATCATTGCTTTTAGTTTGATAACAGGTTAATGACATGCCTGAACTACGTGTGTCATGTGGTATCAGAGATAAAATGTGTCCCAGAAAGAATATAGTAAGTAAAGTTTGTATAAATAGCATGTCACAGAAAGTCAAACATTAGATGACTCGCAGAAGCACAACATTGTTTACAGTTATTTTATTTTTGTCCACTACTTGTTCTACTCTTCTATTTTAAAATGAGTTAAGTGAAGTTAATCATCAATGTTTGTCTCTCCTTAAATGCAGTTGTACTCTAACAAATATTCTGTGTTGTAACAGATTGTGCTAAGGGATTCAAAGCCGGTGGGGGTGCCAGTGTATGTGTGGCAGGTGCAGCCTTGTGATGTTATGTGGCAGCTCAACTCTACCAGACGGCACATTTCTCCTAGCTGAAACTTACATCGGTCCCCCCCCACACACACACACACAGTGTTCAGCTGCACAGAAACTGAACAACAGTGGCACAAAACGGGGACCAAGGTTACAATCTTTTAATGATACTATTATTATGTGTATACATATTTCTGTTATAACATTTAAACTTGTTTTTATTTGGAAACAAGGTATTAAACCAGGTCCAGTTAATGACATGGTCATCATATCAGCCAGACAAAGAGAGAAGAGACCGGTAGAATGAACAAGGTATGTTTTTCTTTCTGGACTGCACGCACACACACACACATGCACACACCCCATTTGACTTTTGTTTTTCTTCCCAAGAAGCAGTTTGTAAAAAGGAGTCAGCTTCCCCGATGACAGCTTCATTCTGAAGGTGCAGGAGGCGTACCACAGACTTGGTGCAGATGAGGCTCCGGTGATGACAGCCATGGCTGTCTCTGGTGATGTACCTCTGGTTGGGTCCACGTTTGGTTCGGTGCAGGAGGGAAGCGGGCCATCTTACCAACTACCAGTGAGGACGGCCCCCAGGACGCGTCCACACAAAGACAACCCTTCTCTCCCACAACTGTCTCTCTCTCATTATAGACTGGGACCCTCTGCATGTGCATTTGTGTTTACTGAACATCATCATTTCACATCCCTCACAACATCATTGGGGAAATCATACAAAGCTGAGAACAGAACACAATCGCAGAGTTTCTGTGTGGAGGGGCACCAACTAAGGAGATGCCACATCACTTCTACAAAATTTAGATAAGTGTGTCACACCAGGGCAGAAGGTTCTGCTGAGAACCTTGTGAAACAGCCTATGTGAACAAGTAGTCAGACTGATGACAAATGTTGGGGTCTTGCTTTGGAGCCTACAGCCATCAAGGAGTACTGCAAGGTAATAGAGGTAAACCACTACCCTTGTGGGGTCCTGATCCACCTTGAGGCACCATGGATGGGTTCAACACCAGATGGGATTACCGTAAATCCTCTAATACAGGCCCGGGCCTCTATTTGACTCAAGCTCATCAAGCTCCAGGCCTTTATTGGAAGGAGGGCCAGTATTAGAGGCAGGCCTCTATTTCCATTTGAGCAAAATGAACTAATGTTCCTTGGGAGTTTTTGACAATTAAAATTGCGCCCACATTTTCAAAGTTAAACACATTTCTTTTAACAACGGTAGTTTCTGCTTCAGCCATCTCCCCCCTCCCCCTGCTTTAGCCCTCTCCCACCTCCCCCTGCTTTAGCCCTCTCCCCCCTCCCCCTGCGCAGCGGCCACAAACTCACTGATGCGCCTGCAGCCTCTCAGAGTTCCTGCTGCTCTAAACATTAAAATAATTATTTCATTTTCTGTTCCTCACTTCTGATTACCTTCAATGGTGGCTGTTTGTTGCAACAGCAGGTACAAAAACTAACTTGTTTTTATTTGACTATTTTTCTGTCCTGTCTGTTTATTATCTTCCTGCATCTCCTCTCAATCCTAAAGAAAAACTGCTGCCTGGGTTCATATATATTCACCTCATGAGTTACCTTTGAACTGCAGTTCTAAAAGATCTACCGACCGCAAAAACAGCGGAGCGCTCGCTGTTTGTCGGCCGTATCAGTGATCTGTGCGTCGGAGGACAAGGTGATGCGCGCAGCGCCCCGCTCCACAGCAGCGATACACATCAGGCGCAAATAAAAGACAGAAAACATTAAAGGAAATGAACCAACATGAACGATCGCGTGTCAGTACCTACGGTCTGGTACAGCGCGTTGCCCCCACCCCCGAGCGCAGGAGCTTGTCACCTGCTGACAGCAGACTGCTGTCTTTTCCGAGGGCTGCATCTTGCCGGTCATTATCACGTGACAGCGACTAGTCGACGACAGGCATAAAAAGTCACTATAGTGAAGTCGACTAGTTCATACAACCCCTACTGCTGCTCTCCAGAGTGTTCTACAGCATAATCAGCACGTTCTCTTTGAACTTGATAGTGTAATGACCTGGCTGGGGTTGTAAGCCAGGTGCATTCTGGGTATTGTGTTATATGTGTTTCCTATCGTTCTGCTAGTTCCTATGTGCTGATTTGTGTGTTGTGTGAGTGTTATGTAAGCCACAGGGAAGGTGATGTGTGTTCTGTAGAGTGGGTTGAATTAGCATGGTTAACTGACACCGTGACTCTGTGTGGTAGGAGCGTGATAGAGGATCGTGTCTGTAGCGTTACAAAGCATTGAAGAAAAAGCCTAATAAAGGTCTGCTTGAACCTCTACTGCCTCCTGCTGGTTGATTTGGGGACTATAACCCTGCCGCTGGGACGCTCGTACTTGCTTGTTACTACATTCCACCCATACTTGCTTGTTACTACATTCCGCCCGGCCACAATAAGAGACCGGCCAATATTTACCTCAACTGACTTTGACACCGACTTTGACACCGGCCACAATTGGAGACCCGGCCTTTAATTGAATACCGGCCTGTATTGGAGGATTTACGGTATGTATGATCCTGAGGGCAGCCTGAGTGTGGCCTGCTGGAAATAAAATGCCTAAATGTGTGTAGCTTTGTGGATTATTATGCTCAGAAAAGGTTTACTCTCTGTGGCGATCTCATCCTCATTACTGGCAGGTCGGTGTTGACTGTTGATTTCTCCATGTGAGTGGTGTGACTTTGTTGTTTACACCACAGATGACATGTTTATTCAGCGAGTTCCCCGTGACATGGAAGTCATACAGACACTATTGTAATGTTTTCATTGCTGTTTAAATGTAAAGACTTACTGTGGGGGAAATTCAATGTAAATCTGCAGTAAAATTAAATAGTTCTGCACTTTCTTGTTTGTGATGTTTTGTTTGCTAGCTGAGTAATCATTTTTAAATGGCTTCAGTTTAGTTTCAAAAGATAAGATTTAAATTAAACGAATTAAAGAAGACTAAACAAAAACCGATGACTTATTTACCACAAAAGTGTTTGAAACCATAAACTTTCAATTTCTTTTTTTTATTACAAAACCATTTTAAACATACAAATACACATTTAAGCATGATATAGGTTTTTTTTTTAATTTTAAGAACTCTATCAATTGAGAAATTAATCATAACTTACTTTATTGCTGAGGTTTTGTAAAGGTACCGCATCTCAAGCCCTCAGAAGGGCACAGCACCGTTGAAGATCATCTGAGTGAAAGCTTTAAATGCAGTACCTTTATGGAAGTGTGTAAATATACAGTGTGGTTGCCCTACATGACTTGAGGTGCTCAGACATCAGGCTCCTTTGTGGGAGTGACTTGTAGGAGGAAAACACCTCACTCTGGAGGAGAGGGGAAGATGGACATTGACACATCAGCTCAGTGCAGTCAAGAATGACTGTGGTGTCTGGGTGGTCCTAAAAGTCTGCAGGCAGATTTGGCCTTATCTCCTCCTCTGGTATCCAGATCCTCACAGAGCCAAGTTCTTGATTTTCATCAGACCGACTACAGTTGTGTTTCAGAAAATCTGTCTCTGCAACTAGCAATAACCCACATACATACTTCTCAGCTCCCCATCAGAGGGAATGAAAAAAATACAGAATTGTACCTTGCTGATGCCTCTGTGTGTGTGTGTGTGTGTGTGTGTGTGTGTGTGTGTGTGTGTGTGTGTGTGTGTGTGTGTGTGTGTATGTGTGTGTGTGTGAGCAAACTCGCATGGTACACCCTGGACAGGTTGCCATTATTTACATTAAATAACATATATATGTTAATTTAATAAAATACAGTATATGTTATTTAATAACATATACTGTATTTTATTACTGTGGAAACATTTTAGGCAGGTGTGGAAAATGCTGAAAATAATGCTTTCAAAAATGGAAGTGATAATCATTCATTTTCATCAGTCAGCAAAAATCAGTCAATGAACCTACTAGAAATGTAAATCTATATTCAGTGTGATCACCCATTGACTCAAAAACAACATCAATTCTTCTAGGTACACTTGAATGCAGGTGTTGGAAGAACTGGGTTGGTATGTTGTTCCAGACATCTTGGAGAACAGCAGAGAGGGGAAACCTGATAAAAAGAAAATGGCAATTCTGACACCCCCGTAGTAAGTGGACAGCAGAAAAATCAAACTTCTTTTAACAGTTTGGATTACAATTATATATTTTACCACATTATTAGGTCTACACATCCACAGTGAGTTAAATTATAGTGCCATAAAACCATTTTACTTTATGATGCGAACAACAATCGCCAGAATGGCAGCTGTCAAACTGACGGCTGGTGGGAGAAAAAAAGCACAAAGTGAAGAAACCTTTACAAAACCTCAGCAATAAAGTAAGTTATGATTAATTTCTCAATTGATAGTTCTTAAAATTAAAAAAAAAACCTATATCATGCTTAAATGTGTATTTGTATGTTTAAAATGGTTTTGTAATAAAAAAAAGAAATTGAAAGTTTATGGTTTCAAACACTTTTGTGGTAAATAAGTCATCGGTTTTTGTTTAGTCTTTAATTCGTTTAATTTAAACCTTATCTTTTGAAAACTAAACTGAAGCCATTTAAAAATGATTACTCAGCTAGCAAACAAAACATCACAAACAAGAAAGTGCAGAACTATTTAATTTTACTGCAGATTTACATTGAATTTCCCCCACAGTAAGTCTTTACATTTAAACAGCAATGAAAACATTACAATAGTGTCTGTATGACTTCCATGTCACGGGGAACTCGCTGAATAAACATGTCATCTGTGGTGTAAACAACAAAGTCACACCACTCACATGGAGAAATCAACAGTCAACACCGACCTGCCAGTAATGAGGATGAGATCGCCACAGAGAGTAAACCTTTTCTGAGCATAATAATCCACAAAGCTACACACATTTAGGCATTTTATTTCCAGCAGGCCACACTCAGGCTGCCCTCAGGATCATACATAATCCCATCTGGTGTTGAACCCATCCATGGTGCCTCAAGGTGGATCAGGACCCCACAAGGGTAGTGGTTTACCTCTATTACCTTGCAGTACTCCTTGATGGCTGTAGGCTCCAAAGCAAGACCCCAACATTTGTCATCAGTCTGACTACTTGTTCACATAGGCTGTTTCACAAGGTTCTCAGCAGAACCTTCTGCCCTGGTGTGACACACTTATCTAAATTTTGTAGAAGTGATGTGGCATCTCCTTAGTTGGTGCCCCTCCACACAGAAACTCTGTGATTGTGTTCTGTTCTCAGCTTTGTATGATTTCCCCAATGATGTTGTGAGGGATGTGAAGTGATGATGTTCAGTAAACACAAATGCACATGCAGAGGGTCCCAGTCTATAATGAGAGAGAGACAGTTGTGGGAGAGAAGGGTTGTCTTTGTGTGGACGCGTCCTGGGGGCCGTCCTCACTGGTAGTTGGTAAGATGGCCCGCTTCCCTCCTGCACCGAACCAAACGTGGACCCAACCAGAGGTACATCACCAGAGACAGCCATGGTTGTCATCACCGGAGCCTCATCTGCACCAAGTCTGTGGTACGCCTCCTGCACCTTCAGAATGAAGCTGTCATCGGGGAAGCTGACTCCTTTTTACAAACTGCTTCTTGGGAAGAAAAACAAAAGTCAAATGGGGTGTGTGCATGTGTGTGTGTGCGTGCAGTCCAGAAAGAAAAACATACCTTGTTCATTCTACCGGTCTCTTCTCTCTTTGTCTGGCTGATATGATGACCATGTCATTAACTGGACCTGGTTTAATACCTTGTTTCCAAATAAAAACAAGTTTAAATGTTATAACAGAAATATGTATACACATAATAATAGTATCATTAAAAGATTGTAACCTTGGTCCCCGTTTTGTGCCACTGTTGTTCAGTTTCTGTGCAGCTGAACACTGTGTGTGTGTGTGTGTGTGGGGGGGGGGGGGACCGATGTAAGTTTCAGCTAGGAGAAATGTGCCGTCTGGTAGAGTTGAGCTGCCACATGACATCACAAGGCTGCACCTGCCACACATACACTGGCACCCCCACCGGCTTTGAATCCCTTAGCACAATCTGTTACAACACAGAATATTTGTTAGAGTACAACTGCATTTAAGGAGAGACAAACATTGATGATTAACTTCACTTAACTCATTTTAAAATAGAAGAGTAGAACAAGTAGTGGACAAAAATAAAATAACTGTAAACAATGTTGTGCTTCTGCGAGTCATCTAATGTTTGACTTTCTGTGACATGCTATTTATACAAACTTTACTTACTTTATTCTTTCTGGGACACATTTTATCTCTGATACCACATGACACAATAGTTCAGGCATGTCATTAACCTGTTATCAAACTAAAAGCAATGATATGACTCGCAAAAATGTGACGTTTAAAAACATGAACAGTCTTCTTTTGAACCTGAATCAATCCTGCACTGAACCTGCAGGGAAACGTTTCCCTACACTCAGACGGTGGGGCTTCTGGTTTTTCCTCATTGACCTGAAACACTCGGACCTAACCGTGACCTCTCCTGACTGCATGATTAAAACTGAGAATAACATAAAAACTGTTTTTTTTTTTAATTTCAGACACGAAAAATACGCATGACCTTACTTATCGCTCCAATAACGTTTCCTTATTGTGTTAACTTAGGCTAGTGGAGAGCTAGCGTGTAGCATCTTTAGTAACTCACAGCAGAAGTTTGTTAGCTTACCTTCATAGCTGTGTATGTAGCCGGGCACATACAATACAAGCTTTGTCCATACTAGATTTTGGCATTTCGGACGAGGCAAGAAAGATTCGGTGTACATCGTTAACCATTATTCTTGGGAGGTCTAGCAGCAAACGCGTACAAATAGCCATTCTGACCACTCTGAACGAAGTTGTGTGCTGCGCTGCTGCTGCAGTTTGAAAAATACGGAAGTGCAAAAACGGAAGTCCGTGGAGGCCAGCAGAATTTATCTCATTATTATGAGATACTATCTCATAATTATGAGATACTAAGTCATAATAATGAGATAGCTAAGTCATAATTATGAGATACTATCTCATAATTATGAGATACTATCTTATAATAATGAGATAGCTAAGTCATAATTATGAGATACTAAGTCATAATTATGTGATACTATCTCATAATAATGAGATAGCTAAGTCATAATTATGAGATACTAAGTCATAATTATGAGATACTAAGTCATAATTATGAGATAGTATCTCATAATAATGAGATAGCTAAGTCATAATTATGAAATAATAATTTTTTTTATTTTATCTGAGTGGCGGGAATGGGCTTCCATAATATGGTCATTGTTACTGTTCTAAATAAAGTTCATTAAAAAAAAAACAGTTACCGACGGCGGGACGTTTAAACAATGGATACCTCCGTATAGAGCTCCGGGAGTTGACGTCACTTCTCCCGGCATGCAACAGTTCAAATCGAAACGGCGCCATATTGGCATGCAGAAGCCGGCAGCTGGACTATTTATTATTGTCAGAAAACTCAATCAAACGGGAAATATGGTAGATTCCTGTTGTGCCCCAGGATGCAGAATAGACGCGGACGACATAAGGAATGAGCCATCTACAGGATTCCCCAAGATCCGGAGCGCCGCAAACGTTGGATCATTGTAATAAAACGCACTAGTGACCGGACGAAAATGAAGCTGTGGGATCCCGAGAGTAAAGGTTTTCGCTTATGCAGTGACCACTTCATATCAGGTACTTAAACCAACGTTTCCTCAACTGTGTATGGTATTTATTTTAAATGTTTTTATTATGATTCTTAGTGGGCTTCCTAAACTTATTTTGGCGTGGCTTTTTCTGTCTTATTACTCATAGCAGCAAGTAAACATCACGTAAAACGTTGCCTCGTGAGTTCTGCGTGCTGCCGTTTACGTGTTTTATGATGACAGCAATTAACCGGCTAAGCTGTATTTAATTTTTAAGCAATGGTTGATCAATCGTCAGATCACACATAAAAAGCACTTTGGATTGCTATTATCTGTGTCACCGAGACTACTTACGTGTAAATCTGTTATTTGTCCGTCCATCCATCCATTTTCATCCGCGTATCCGGAGTCGGGTTGCGGGGGCAGTAGCGTGACTTCCCTCTCCCCAGCCGCCGGAGCCAGCTCCTCCGGGTAAGTCCCAAGGGGTTTCCCCGGCCAGGTCCGGTGTTGTGCCGGTAAGAAGTCCGCTACGACAGCTTCTGGCGTTTTTAAAAAGTATCCCAGGGGCACGGTAAGGGTCGGAGATGTTTAGTCTATTTAATTTCTGACTATATAAAACGATTTCTTCTGTTTTAAAGTGTGAAGTAAACTCCGACGAAGTAAAATCCAAGCGGATCCCGTTCATGTTCATGGTTACATCCGTGTTTGTTTACCTTTTTTGCATGCCAAAATGGCGTCCACTAACTGAAAGCCACGTGGGGTCCGGAGCTCTATACAACGAAATTCATGATTTTCTCCTCAACGGAGAGCTTCCGGCGATTGAACAAAAGCGCTGTAAAATAAGAAGAATGGCGCCTAATTACAGACTTAAAGGTAAGTACGATAATTAAAGATGATCTTTTATCATGGTCTACAGGATGCAGGATGGCGCCGCAGATGGCAGCCTCGGTACATTGCTCTCTTTTGTTTGTGTTGTTTTTGTATATATTTTTTGGAAATCAGCGATGCAAAACGGATTACTTTCAGTAGAGATGAACTACTGGGTATCAGGCAACAAACCACAGAAACGGATTTTCAAAAATTTGAGGACCCGGGGAGTTTATTGGAAGTTTTAATCGGAGGAACTGCTGTTTGTTGGAGAAGGAAGCGCAGGAGGGGTAAACGAGCAGGATCGCTGGTGAGACTCCGCCAACGGGGATTTCGTATGCCTCTCCCAGCAATACACCTAGCGAACGTCCGATCCCTACCTAATAAAATGGACAAGCTGCTCCTTCTGAACAGGACCAACCGAGACTTTGCACACTCCGCTGCCCTCTGCTTTACGGAAACGTGGCTCAGTGACTTGATTCCTGATAATGGCTTATACCCAAGGCCGAATTAACCATATGGGCAACTGGGCAATTGCCCAGGGCCCACAAATTCTAAAGGGCCCAGGGCAGCAAGGGCACGAGCAAAATACTGTATCTGTAATCTCCCGCTTTATATTAAACTAGTGTGACCGTATACGTCCTGTTTTCCCCGGACATGTCCGCTTTTCACTTTGTCCGGGATGTTCGGGTTCTTGTATTGATGAAAATGTCCGGCTTTTCATCCCGGAGCAGGGATGGGGGGAGCTGTATATCCTACACATCCAGGGGAGCCGGAGAAAAGTTTTCCACCTATATTACTATATTATCATTCATGGATTCTTTTCAGCAGAGAGTGGCAGAGCGATGATCGGTGCGCAGCGCTCCAGGCTGCTGCGTCCAGCGCACGGTCCATTCTCAAAGTGTATGGGGTGCCATTTGTAAAGTCAAACAGTCATAATCTAACAGCAGTATTTTTGGTTATTTAGCATATCGTAAGAGAAAAAATTGGGAGTTCACTTTTTCGAAGTCATATTTTCACCATGTTATTCATACATTTATAAATGTTAAAGTTTCCAAATAAATATTTAGTTAGCAAGCTAAATATTTAATTTACAGTTAAATATTTATTTTGCAAACTAAATATTTAGGTCTGATCTAAATATTTAATTTGTAAAATAAATATTTAATTCACTAACTAAATATTTAATTTACTAATTAAATATTTATTTTGGAACTAAATATTTAATTTGTAAATTAAATATTAATTTTGTCAGTTACATATTTATTTTCCAAAATAAATATTTAGATCCCAGCTAAATATTTATTTTGGAGCTAAACATTTAGTTTGCAAAATCAGTATTTGGGAAATAAATATTTAAGTCTGACCCAAAAATATAGTGTGGAGCTAAATAACATTGTGGAAAATAAATATTTAGCTGGTACTTAAACATTTAGCTAATATGCAAGTTCGCTTGCCAATAAGCGGAAGTTGGTTACCAAAATAAAAGCTGGATCTCGCTAACCTCTTTGTGAACTCTTGCTCCGAACCAGAACTTGTTTTGTCTCCGGTTCTATTCTTCTGAACATATCTGACGTGTTGGCTGAAAACATAGGACGAGCCGTTCTTACAGCAATACGGTCTTTTACAAATGGATCGGCACCAGCATCCGTCACAGAACCACCGCAACCAGTGGTAAGTTCATGACCGACCTGTATTAGCCTTAGCCCAGCTAGCTATAGCGCTAGCTAAGCTAAAACAGTTATATAAATGCTTTTTAAATTATTTTTTAGCGGGGAATTTGTGTATTTCTGACTATTGGGTTAACGTTTTATCTAGCTAAATGATATTTCTTTTAAAAACAGGTTTCCTCTCGGGCCACCGATGCAAATCTGAGACCAATCGTTGCAACCACCTCCAATGGAGGAGCAACGAGCCGCTCGGTAAGCATTTTCTCAAGTTTCCTATTATTTGACAAGCCCTTTGAACATTAATCAACTATTAATTTTTAATATTGTAATAACTATTTTAGCTTATACAAATATTACATTTACTAGTCATATTTGAAAATAAAGATATACACTACTATACTGTTATAAATTATATTTAATGTCATCCATATAATACCTGGAAGTTTGGCTGTCCGGAAAATCTCAAGATCCTAACCCTAACCTAACTCTAACCCTAACTTCAAAGGGGGCAATTTTAACAATTATTCGGCAGGCTGGATATGTTCCAGATATCAATAAATCCATTAGATTTTAATAAAAATAAATATTCCAAATAGCCAGTAGCATTATTACTATTCACAATGCACATTTAAGATATCTTGAAAGTAATTCTAAGACAAATGTCGCATATAAACATCATTCCAGCTATCTATTTTTGTATTTTACATCTGAACATATTTTTCAACTTGTACTATTTTAACTTTAGATGGGCAGAACTACAATCTTAAATGGCATAATTATATTCTGACCATCTGTTTTGGAATTGTTCATTCCTCCTATCCATAATGCTGTTTTTGACAGCTTGAAATTGGAATCAAAAACATTTTCAACTAGAAAGATTTCAGTTTCTACTATAATGTCCATTCAAGACAGAAAGAACCATAAATGCTCAAATGTAAGCAAAAAGTAAAATACTGCTGCTTCTAATATTAAATGTAACTACACTGTTTACAAACACATTTATGGTGACAACGTTTACACCTCACTCCATTCATTAGATATTAATCTAATGATCCACAATTTAATTAACACAAATATTATTTTTATTTTTCTGCTTTTTAGGTTCATGAGAACACTAACCACCCAGAACTCCCGCAAGACGCCAATTACTCGGTGAGTGTTGGATATTTTTCTAGAGTTGATTGTGTTACCACTTTTAATTGCTTATTCTAATAATTACCTTGTTGGTAACAAGAATACATTATTTGGGCGACGGTGGCACAGGAGTTAAGAGCTCGCCCCGTAATCTGAAGGTTGCAGGTTCAAGCCCTACTCAGTCTGTCGCTGTCATTATGTCCTTGGGCAAGACACTTAACCCACCTTGCCTGCTGGTGGTGGTCGGAGGGACTAGTGGCGCCAGTGATCAGCAGCCTCGGCTCTGTCAGTGCGCCCCAGGGCAGCTGTGGCTACATCGTAGCTCATTCCCACCAGTGTGTGAATGTGTGTGTGAATGGGTGAATGTTGTAAAGCGCCTTGATGGGTTCCAGGACTCTAGAAGGCGCTATATCAAAAACAGGCCATTTTGTCAATGACTGGAAAAAATTTGGGTAAAAAATGTCTAATATTTCTTTTTACCAATTTAATTTAAGTTGACAAATGGGGTCATAGCATCTGATGTTCCACAATTTTATGTTCGTCTTCGTCTTCGTCTTCCTCCGCTTATCCGGGTCCGGGTCGCGGGGGCAGCATCCCAGTTAGGGAGCTCCAGGCCGTCCTCTCCCCGGCCTTGTCCACCAGCTCCTCCGGCAGGACCCCAAGGCGTTCCCGGACCAGATTGGAGATGTAACCTCTCCAACGTGTCCTGGGTCGACCCGGGGGCCTTCTGCCGGCAGGACATGCCCGAAACACCTCCCCGGGGAGGCGTCCAGGAGGCATCCTGACCAGATGCCCAAACCACCTCAACTGGCTCCTTTCGATCCGGAGGAGCAGCGGTTCTACTCCGAGTCCCTCCCGAATGTCCGAGCTCCTCACCCTATCTCTAAGGCTGAGCCCGGCCACCCTACGGAGGAAACTCATTTCGGCCGCTTGTATCCGCGATCTCGTTCTTTCGGTCATTACACAAAGCTCATGACCATAGGTGAGGATTGGGACGTAGATCGACCGGTAAATCGAGAGCCTGGCTTTCTGGCTCAGCTCCCTCTTCCCCACGACAGATCGGCTCAGCGTCCGCATTACTGCAGACGCCGAACCAATCCGCCTGTCGATCTCCCGATCCCTCCTACCCTCACTCGTGAACAAGACCCCGAGATACTCAAACTCCTCCACTTGAGGTAGGACCTCTCCCCCGACCCGGAGGTGGCAAGCCACCCTTTTCCGGTCGAGAACCATGGTCTCAGATTTGGAGGTGCTGATCCTCATCCCAGCCGCTTCACATTCGGCCGCGAACCTACCCAGCAAGAGCTGAAGGTCAGAGCTGGATGAAGCTAGGAGGACCACATCATCCGCAAAAAGCAGAGACGAGATTCTCCTGCCACCAAACTCGACACACTCCACACCACGGCTGCGTCTAGAAATTCTGTCCATAAAAGTGATGAACAGAACCGGTGACAAAGGGCAGCCCTGGCGGAGTCCAACCCTCACTGGGAACAGGTCCGACTTACTACCGGCTATGCGGACCAAACTCACGCTCCTCTGGTAAAGGGACTGAATGGCCCTTAACAGAAAGCCACCCACCCCATACTCCTGGAGCGTCCCCCAAAGGGTGCCCCTGGGGACACGGTCATAAGCCTTCTCCAAATCCACAAAGCACATGTGGATTGGTTGGGCAAACTCCCATGCCCCCTCAATCACCCTTGCAAGGGTATAGAGCTGGTCCACAGTTCCACGGCCAGGACGAAAACCACATTGCTCCTCCTCTATCTGAGATTCAACTATCGATCGGACCCTCCTCTCCAGTACCTTGGCGTAGACCTTTCCAGGGAGGCTGAGGAGTGTGATCCCCCTATAGTTGGAACACACCCTCAGGTCACCCTTCTTAAAGATGGGGACCACCACCCCGGTCTGCCACTCCCTAGGAACTGCCCCCGATGACCACGCAATGTTGTAGAGACGTGTCAACCATGACAGCCCTACAACATCCATAGCCTTGAGATACCCAGGACGAACCTCATCCGCCCCCGGGGCTCCGCCGCTGTGTAGTTGTTTGACTACCTCAGCAACTTCTGCCCCCAAGATCGGACAGTCCATCCCCAGGCCTCCCAGCTCTGGTTCCTCCTCGGAATGCGCATTGGTGGGATTGAGGAGCTCCTCAAAGTATTCCTTCCACCGTCCGACTATAGCCTCAGTTGACGTCAGCAGCTCCCCATCCCCACTGTAAACAGTGTGAGCGAGTTGCTGCCTTCCTCTCCTGAGGCGCCGGACAGTTTGCCAGAACCTCTTTGGAGCCGATCGATAGTCTTTCTCCATGGCCTCACCAAACTCCTCCCACGCCCGAGATTTTGCCTCGGCAACTGCCACTGCTGCACCCCGCTTGGCTATCCGGTACCTGTCTGCTGCCTCCGGAGACCCACAGACCAGCCACGCCCTGTAGGCCTCCTTCTTCAGCCTGACGGCTCCCCGAACCTCTGGTGTCCACCAGCGGGTACGGGGGTTGCCACCACGACTGGCACCGGCCACCTTACGACCACAGCTAGCAACAGCCGCCTCGACAATCGCAGAGTGGAACAAGGCCCACTCGGACTCAATGTCCCCCACTGCTCTCGGGACGTGGTCAAAGCTCTGCCGGAGGTGGGAGTTGAAGACCGTCTTGACAGGTTCTTCTGCCAGGCGTTCCCAGCAGACCCTCACTATGCGTTTGGGTCTGCCAGGTCTACGCGGCATGTTCCCTTGCCATCTGATCCAACTCACCACCAGGTGGTGATCAGTTGACAGCTCCGCCCCTCTCTTCACTCGGGTGTCCAAAACATACGGCCGCAGGTCAGATGATACGACTACAAAATCTATCATCGACCTGTGACCTAGGCTGCCCTGGTACCAAGTGTACCGGTGGGCATCCTTATGTTCGAACATGGTGTTCGTTATGGCCAAACTGCGGCTTGCACAGAAGTCCAATAACAAAACACCGCTCGAGTTCAGATTAGGTGGGCCGTTCCTCCCAATCACACCCCTCCAGGTCAAGCTGTCATTGCCCACGTGAGCATTGAAGTCCCCCAGCAGGACAATGGAGTCCCCTGATGGAGCACTATCTAGCACTCGTCCCAGGGACTCCAAAAAGGGTGGGTACTCTGAACTGATATTTGGCCCATAAGCACAAACAACAGTCAGGACCCATTCCCCGACCCGAAGGCGCAAGGACGCTACCCTCTTGTCCCCCGGGGTAAACCCCAACACACAGGCAGAGAGTCTCGGGGCTAACAAAAGGCCAACCCCAGCCCTCCGCCTCTCACCCGGAGCAACTCCAGCAAAGTAGAGTGTCCAACCCCTCTCCAGGTCTCGGGTTCCAGAGCCAATGCAATGTGTCGAGGTGAGTCCGACTATATCTAGCCGGTACCGCTCAACCTCTGCCACAAGCTCCGGCTCCTTCCCCGCCAGCGAGGTGACGTTCCATGTCCCAAAAACTAGTTTTCTTGTCCGGGGATTGGACCGCCAAGGCTCCCGCCTTGGTCTGCCACCCGATTCACATTGCACCGGACCCTTCATGTTCCTCCTGCGGGTGGTGGGTCCACAGTTGGACGAGCCCATGTATCCGGTTCGGGCTGGGCCCGGCCGGGCCCCATGGGCGAAAGCCCGGCCACCAGGCGCTCGCTCACGGGCCCCAACCCCAGGCCTGGCTCCAGGGTGGGACCCCGGTAACCCTCCGGGCCGGGTACTCCGACTCTTTGTTTTAACCGCCATGAAAGATCCTTCGAACCGTTCTTTGTCTCACCCTTCACCTAAGACCAATTTGTCATGGGAGGCCCTACCAGGGGCACTAAGTGCCCCAGACAACATAGCTCCTAGGATCATTAGGGCACTCAAACTCCTCCACCACGATAAGGTGACGGTTCAAGGAGGAGACAATTTTATGTTCCATTCTAATACTCTTTTTTCTTTTCAAGGATGAATTCCAAGGAAGGCATCAGATATCCAAAGAAGAGTTGGAAAATGTTCTTTCACTGAGAACTACCTTTACAGAAGCAGCTTCACTTCTTTCTGTTTCAAGGCAAACATTTTACAAGTTACTTAAAGATCATAACATCCCAGCCTCAAAATATGTCAGCATTAGTGATGAACAGTTGGATACTATCATATCACAAATAAAAACTGGACATCCAAATATTGGGGAAGTTATGCTTATGGGACATCTGCGCTCCAGAGACATTGTAGTTCAAAGAAGGCGTTTAAGAGAATCTTTACACAGAGTTGATCCAGTGGGTATCCAGTCAAGAAGATCATCCATTGTCAGACGAGTATATTCTGTCCCACATCCCAATTTCATATGGCATATAGATGGAAACCATAAGCTAATTCGTTGGAAGTTTGTTGTCCATGGTGCTATAGATGGGTACAGTAGAATGCTAATGTTTCTTCACTGCTCCAACAATAATCGTGCTGAAACTGTTAAAGACCTCTTCACTGTTGCGGTTGGACATTTTGGCCGACCACTTCATATTAGGACTGACCATGGAGGAGAAAATGTCAGAATTTGGGAAGATATGCAATCAATCAGGGGTGAAAGTTCTGTTTTAACAGGAAGTTCAGTCCACAACCAGAGAATTGAGCGTTTTAATAGAGACTTAAACAACAACTGTAGCAAAGTTTATGCACCAACATTCTATGCTTTGGAGTCATTAGGTTGTCTTAACTTGGAAAACCCAACAGATTTATTCTGTCTTCATTATGTATATTTACCCAGAATCAACCGCACATTGGAGGAATTCAAAGCAGCATATAACAACCACTCTATTTCATCTGAAGGAAACAAAACTCCAGTTCAACTTTTCTCACTAAACAGTTTTTGGCTCCACAACCCACAACAGTCAGCAAGAGACGTCCTCTCAGTAAGCGACCAGAGTGAGTTCATGCCCTTGACCAGCATGGAAATGCAAGAACTTTCTGTTACAATCAACCCTCTTGAAAATGACAATGATAATGGAAAAACATTGTTTCAGAGAACACAGCAGTTTGTTTTCAACAAACTTGTATGAATGAACTCCTAAGTCTGACTAATGTAACACTTACACTTTTGAAAAACTTCTGTAAATAAATGTTAGTACGTAAACTGAGCAACTGAAAAAAACTTAAACAATGAAATAGGAAATCACATGAATTGTGGATTTGTAGATCCTGTACCATATGTATTTGAGGATGTGAGGGACATTTGTGTTCAAATTGTGCTAAATAAAGAACCATTCATAAGTGCAACAAGGAAGCAGTAGTTAAATTCATCATCATCTGCTGTTGTTTTCGTGTTCACAAAAAGCTGAAGTTCATTTGCACATGTGTGTGCAATGGGATGAGTTTTGGTCTCATCATGTACAAAAGTTATTTTAGGAAGTGGATGAAAACCAACACCCGGGGCCCTGCTGCTCCCTGTTGCAAATGCCAGGATGTGCCCAGGACTCAAAACACTCACAAAGTTCTCATCTTCAGTCAGCATCTTGTCTGCAAAGGTGTCTCTCAGCTCCTTTTCTGAATACAGATGAAAATCTTTAGTTACTCTAGATCTTAAAGCTACAATGACAAATCTATAAAACAAGCAAGCTTAAAACATTTTCCATGGCTTTCAACAACATTGCAACTGTCAGCACGTGGCGGTGAGTGAAGCAGATGTAAGGATCCACATGCAGGTGAGGGAAACAGGCAGGCAGACAAACCAGTACGAGTAAAAGTATTTAATGATCACACGCTGGACAATGAAACAATGATCCACAAAGAGACATAGGCTGTGTCCGAATCCAGGGGTAGGATGCTTGTGAGTGCGCATTTTGAGGTCGATGACGTCAAAGCGCAGCGACGAGTACTGTCCGAATTCCAAGAATCCTCATTCTCGCGTCCTCAAACGCGTCCTTGCTCCACCCACATTTCGAGGATGGGTCTGATGGATCCTCACAGTAGCAAGGGTATCCCAGCATGCTTTGCGCGCCGGCCGCTGGACTCGACACTCGCAACAACGGCGGACGGAGCGGGACAGCAGTACAGCTTAAAATGTAAGTTAGTTCAAAAAATAGCGGTCAAAAAAATAAAATACGTGTTTGGGCACTTTTGGTTTGTTTTTTATATACGATCTAATACCGCAAATTGTTTTTTTCATGTAATTTAAGGCTAAAACATGCCCCACCGAAAACCAGCTCGAATGTTTAATAGGAAAAACCCCACCGTAAACTAGCTTCATCCCAGCAGGCTTTTTAAAAGAAAATAGCGGTAGAAGACTAAGCTGAAAGCGGTTCTGTTTATAGACATTCTTCGTTTGTATAAGTACATTTTAAGCAGAAATCAGCGAGAACAAGCTTGTATGGTGGTCCCGTCATAATTCCCATGTGTGTGTGTGTTTATTTAGCGAATAAAGCTTCTCATCATTTGTTTTAAGGTTAAAACCCCACCGTAAACTTGCTTGAAAGTCTAATAGGAAAAAACTCACCGTAAAAGAGCTTGCATCTTATGTAATCATGTAACGAACGCCAAAAATAACGAAAACTAAGTTTAATGTTTATTTAAGTTAATTTTTAAGAAACCACATTACTGATTTAATGTTTTTAATTTCATTTTAGACGGAAAAAAACAGAAAACAATTTTCATCTCCCATGTTGATAAATTAAAATATTGTTTATTGCATGTTTTATCAACTATGATTTATAATCTGACTTTGTTCTTCTATTCCTCTATATTCTCATCCAGAACCAGTACCTTTAAGGAGCATCTGTAATTTCATTATGCCCAGTGTTCTCTGTTGTTAAATGACAATAAAGCCTTGTAATTCTAATTCCCTTTGTCTGTAGGACTGCAAGTATCCAGGGTCAGGAGAGGGAGTCAGCGGAAAGCCTACTGCTGAAACCTGGCCCTGGTTTGTCCCCATGGACGAGGTGTTGGGACAGAGGCCTTCCACTATGCATCCTGTCCTTATTGCTTCCATTCCCGAGGACACTCCAGGGCCAAGTGCAGCAGTGGGTGAGACAGAGGACAGGGAGAGTGGTGGAAGGAAGCCGGACTCCTCATCAGGGAGAAAAAGGAGAAGGGCTGATGAGCTCCTTGACCTGATCAGGGAGGACATGAGACAACAGAGGGAAGTGGAGGAGAGGAGAGAAAGAAGGATGGACAGATTTTTAGCATTGATGGAAAGAATGGCAGAGAAATGGTTTTTTTTTCTTTTAGTTTCTTCTGGTTCAGGTTCTATATATGTGTTTGAATGTTTTTGTTATTTGTTTAAATGTAATAAAATTTCTATTAATTGATAACTCTTTTTTGATCATTAACAGTTTTATTATTCAGTTTTTAACAAGTAACAACATAGTAAATAAATTGTAAGGGAACACTGTAAGGAATAAAAGTAAAGATAAAAGTAAAATATATACAGTAAACTTGGAAAGCAGGGAGTCTTTGGTGGTGTTGCTAAATCTACTAAACATGGATCGAGGTGGATGGAGTGCAGGAACCGAGATCCGTGGCTGAACTTTTCTGGTTGGCAAGTGGAACATCAGACAGAGTGGTCTGCAGAGGGTGCTTCTGGATGCCTCATCTCACTGACCACTGCATCGTCAATCAAAAGGGTTTGCTGGGCTGGCTCAATCGACGGCTGTCACATCACTAACATTCAGATATATGCAAAAAAGGAGATCATGAGTATACTACTTGTAACTCTAGCAGATAACAGGACTAAATGACTTTTAAACTTTAAATACAAAGGCCGGTGACGTTTATTGAGCCGTCGCAGCTCCTCAAAAACCACAAATAAAATGAATTAAAGCTGCAAGCAGCGTCGTTCGGCCCTCGCAGCTCCGGCCTGGCCGGCAGCCCGGGGCACCAGGGTACGTCCGCGGAACAAAAATTTTGACCACCCCGACACCAGAAACAGCTAACGGTCACCTCGTCCGCACCTCACCCTGACTGAGCATCCCCTCTGAGCACACCAAGTTTGGTGCAGTTAAGACCTCATCTGTAGGAGTTATTACAGTTTTAATGGTGTGTAGGGGGCGCTGTGGTGTTATTATACGAATTTCACCAACCATTTGTGTCTCATTGGCTAAAGGGCATGATTGTTCATTGCCATGTTCAGTCTCGTGCAGATGGGAGGCTGTTTGTGGAAGTTACAATCAAACGTAAGGTCATGGCGTCATGCCAGAAATCGCCATGGCATCAAAGCCCCTCCCTATCTGGAAAGCTATCAGATCTGAATGGTCATTGCAACATCATGAAGACAGTGCCTGACCTTAGTGCCATGTTGACTTATTTAGAGGGGACAAATATGGGCATTTCACCATAAAACAATAGACTTCCTGTTGTCAGGGGGCGGGGCTTAGGTGATGTCACCTGTCCACAATGACGTTGTCTTGAGATGTGGTCAGTGATCACACAGACAAAGTTTGATATAGATCTGATCATGCACATTGGAGTTGTTAAGTCAAGTAATGTAATGGCGAAAGGTCAAAGTTTGAGGCTTAGCCACGCCCACACCTTTCAACTTTTGAAAAATCCGACAGTTGAATTTTTTCCTCTATGTTTTAAGAGTATATAGCAGAAGTTTGAAGGAGATTGGTGAAAAGGACGATGGAGCATCACTCTCCAAACAACGTGTGCGAAAACCACTAAATCGAGTACTTGGACCAAAATGGCCGACTTCCTGTGCGACTTTGCACTTGGCTCCAAGAGACTTTTTTGTAGGTCCTGAGACCCCACATTAGTGTACCAAATTTCGTAATCCTCAGTCAAAGCATGGCTTAGGGCTATTAGTTTAAATGATCCTAGGGGGCGCTATTTCAGAAATTAGGCCACGCCCACATTATTCAGCTGTCTATGTCTCTTGGGGGTCAGACTAGGATCACTCACCAGAAGTTCCGTAGCGATATCACGATAACTGAAGAAATGAGAGGCAAACGTATTTCCATGGCGTGATGGCGATTTTCGCCATGCTCCCAAAGCCCCGCCTTTTTTTGAAACCTGCCAGTACTGGAGACCAAGTGACCTCAAGTTGTCTACTGCTATTTGCCAGAGAGTCCTGCTGATTGGGTAAAAGGAGTCCAGTAGGGAGCTGTGAAAAAAAGAGTGGTGTGGCGACAGGTCAAAGTTTGAGGCTTAGCCACGCCCACACCTTTCAACTTTTGAAAAATCCGGCGGTTGAATTTTTTCCCCTATGTCTTAAGAGTATATAGCAGAAGTTTGATGGAGATTGGTGAAAAGGGCAACGGAGCATCACTCTCCAAACAACGTGTGCGAAAACCACTAAATCGCGTACTTTCACCAAAATGGCTGACTTCCTGTGCGACTTTGCTCTTGGGTCCAAGAGACTTTTTTGTAGGTCCTGAGACACCGCATTACAGTACCAAATTTCGTAATCCTCAGTCAAAGCATGGCTTGGGGCTGACAGTTTTAATGGTCCTAGGGGGCGCTATTTCAAAAAATAGGCCACACCCACCGGATGTTCACATCAGATTATTTGGGGGGCCGGACTAGGATCACTCACAAGAAGTTTTGTGACGATATCTGTAGAAATGACGAAATGGGAGGCAAACGTAAGGCCACGGCGGTACGCCTGACTTCGCCGCACCGCCAGACCCGCCCTCTGCCGAAAACTCCCATAATGTGACGCCAAGCAACCCCCACTTGTCTTGAGTTTCCAGCTACAAATTTGTGGTGATTAAGTGAAATGGGGCAATTTGGGACCTTTCACAGTAAAACTTGACCTTTTTGGTCCTGAGGGGGCGGGGCTTGTGTGATGTCATCATCCGACCATTCAGTTTACTTTGTGGGTGGATGACGACTGACCACAGAACGTTTGGTAACTCTATTCCATTCATTTATGAAGTTATAGCAATTTAAATTTTTTTGGTGAGTAGTCAAACTTTGAGGCCTGGCCCCGCCCCTTCAGTATTTACGAAAAGTCAATTTTATTATCTCATTTTGTTTGCCCATCTCTTCTGAGCAATTTGACACAATTTTTGAGACGATCGTGCAAAAAATGATCGAGCAATCCAATCAGAAACGGACCCTAAAAACGGCCAAAACGGCAAAAAATCGCCATTTCAACCCAAAATGGCCGACTTCCTGTTTGATATTGACCATGCTTGC